CCAGAGTTCACACCTCCCATGCCATGCCCTACGGCTGGCCCAGATACCCTCCCCCGCGGGTCTTCCCCCGAACCCACGTAATCTACCCCCCCTCCCAGAATCCCTTAAAATCTTATTAAGAAATTTCCCTAAAAAAACCCATAACCCTCTTTTTGCTGTATGCCATCTCTCCGGACTCCAAAGTATATATAATATTGTTAATGTATATGCATAACAAACTTCTTTTATCTTTTATATTTTTCATTATCTTGGGGGGGCCGCATTACTAGCTGTCCAGGGCTGCATGTGGGTTGCGGGTTGGACACAACTATTATAAAAAATAAATGATAATAATGATCAGTTAATTATAAATAGATTCAAACAGTTGTCTTGACTATAATGTATATTTCAAGAAGGCACAGTGTATTAGTCCTGGTGGGCCCTGTTACACGCATGTTGGTCCAGGTTTTGACCCCAGGCTTAGTACCCATCACTGGCTAATTTCTTGGCCAAGATGGCCTGCAAACCCTCTGTGTATTCTGGTTATTTACTGTTTTATATGTCCATCACTTGATCTTGTAATTAGATTGGATTTCTAAAGCACACACACTCAAATAAAATCAAATTAAAATAAAATAAAATTAAATTAAAATAAAATCAAATCAAATCAAATTAAAAAAAAAAAGAAAATGGGGCAGTAGTTCATACATATACCCTGTTTCCCCCAAAATAAGACATCCCCTGATAATAAGCTCAATCGGGCTTTTGAGCGCAATGCAATAAGGCCAAGCGCTTATTTCAGGGTTCAAAAAAATATTTTATATTTTTATCTTCTTATTTTATCGTCTTATTTTGGGGGAAGCACAGTAGATAGCTCAAAATTTCTGTTGCTAAGTAAAATACTTAAGTGAGTTTTGCCTCATTTTCTTGCCACAGTTGTTAAGTGAATCACTGAAGCTGTTAAGTAGTAACACTGTTGTTAAGTGAATCCGCTTTCCCCATTGACTTTGCTTGTCAGAAGGTCCCAGAAGGTGTTCAGATGATCCTGGGTCACTGTAACTGTTTGAGTTTTGATCACATGACCATGGGGATGTTGCAATGGTCATAATTGTGAAAAACTGCCTTAAGTCACTTTTTCAGTGCTGCTGTAATTTTGAATGGTCACTAAATGAATGGTTTTAAGTCAAGGATTATCTGTACAAACCCAACGTGGTGGCTCCCTTTTAGGATAAATACTGTTAGACAAAGCTCAGAAATTTTATTTATTTATATTTTATTTTAATTAGATTTTTTAAAAATCCTGCCTTTATTACTTTACAAATAACTCATTGTCATTGGCCCCCTCAGAGCCCGGTTTGGAGGAGGAAGAGTTGGAGCTGGGACCGTCTGACATGGAAGGCACGCCAGGGGCTGAGGACGATTTTGTCCCAGCCCCTTGGGCACTGGTAGAGATGGTTGACCAGACAGAGAGCTGCCTCCCTGCACATACATGGGAAGATCGGCTGCAGACTGGCAGTGGTCCTAATAGGCAGTTGATCTCCTTTGATGAGGAACAGCTGTCTACTCCACATATTAGTTGTGTCCCTCCAATTGTCAAGCCTGATATAGTTTTCACAATTATTAACATTTCTCTAATTACCCCAAATATATTTTAAGGCTTACTATTTTTCAGCATTTGAATAACATGTAATTACTTTCTTTTCTTCATTTGTTGTTCTTGGAAACAAACATATGTAGCATGTGTTTCAGTTTCCTTTTTTGACATGTCATTATTCCTACAGAATCTGTACAATACTCCTTCAAGCATTCCTCTTCTAATTTTAGATCATCCTGGGTTTTGATTCATTTCTTTTTCATGTCATATACAAATAACTGTAATTATGAAGGATCCTTCGTTCATAATTAAATCTACATCTTTGCTTCCTTGCATGTATTTGTCAAGTCAACTCTGCATAATCAGATCACCTTTATTCAAATCTACTAATGCTGCAGAGTGTACCTTATTCCCTCAGAATTATTGAAAAATAATAAGAGTAATGGTTCCAATATTGGCATCATTTTGCACCCATATTGATACCACTCGATGCTACCCCGAGGACTGGAGCCCTGGCAATTTTAGCGCCAATCTTTAAGAATAGAAAGAGATATGACCCTGCTAACTACAAGCCAATTAACTTGATTAATGTCATCAGCAATCTTTATGCTAATCACCTCCATGAAAAGCTTAAGGATTGGCTGGATCAGGGAAATCTGATAGCAGAAGAGCAGGTTGGCTTTGTAAAAGGTAAAGGAACCATTAACCAATGTTTGGTCCTACAGCACTTGATTAAAAATTATTCAACTAGCAGTGCTGTATTATTGTATGCTGCCTTCATTGATCTTAAGGCAGCTTTTGATTATTCATCCCAGACCAAATTATGGGAAAAGCTGAAAGTTGCATTAATTAATTGTTGGTTTCTTCATTTAATGTGTATCCTAAACACTAATATACTTTCAAGGTCAGGAGAAATATGCAAGGGTTCTTCATGAACCCAGTTACAGCTCAAAAATGGATAAACAGGGATGTATTCCCCCCACACTTTTCAATTTTTATATCAACTGTACAGTGAGATGTCTAAACGATCCACATTTCCATCCCCTAAACTAGGAGACTATAGCATTCCGCTGCTGCTGTAGGCAATTGATACTGTAGTACTTTCCAGAACATCAATAAATCTCAAAAGAGCTCTAAGAATTTTGTTCCAATATTGTAACAATGATAATCTGGAAATAAACTGTCAGAAAACCAATATTATGGCTTTTGCCAAAAGGCTGAAACTTCATTTACAGAGCATTAATGGCTCTAAAATAGAAAAAGTGACTAGCTTTAAGTATTTAGGAGTAGCTATACATATCACTGGCTTAAGGGAAGCCCACTGTGAATATGAAAATATAAAAAAGATCTGCCAATGCCATCCTTAATTTTTTTTCAGTCCAAGGGAGAATATTATGTTCCAGTTCCTAAAACTGGTTCAGGCTGAACCTCTAGTTCAGTTCCTTTATAGGGCTCTGGTTGGGCCCCCAGCTTTGTCTTTCACCTCTCTGGAAAGGGTAAAATCTAAATTAATCAGAGCAGTTCTCCACATACTACACTTTGTCTTAAATAAACATCTGCAATTGGAGACAGGTATGATAAAAGTTGAGTTCAGAGTGTATCTAGCTTCTATTAACCTTTGGCTAAAGTTCAGCTTCTTTCCTCAAGGCTTAGCACAATTAATTCTTCAGCACAACTTTCAGTCCACATGGATCAAGGTTGTTAAATTTAATCTTTTAAATGTAAGTTACTCTCCTTCCATAGTTTTGAAGATGGAATATGATCAGGCAAAACAAATCATGAAAAGGATATAGAGAGGCAAGCAGATCTAGGGAATGCTTCCAGTCACCAATACATAACAGATATCTTGTCACTGCTGTCAGGTACCTTACATTAACTACAAATACCTAGCCATTGGAAAACTTTCTCTCTTGCCTAATGACTTATCTCTGCAGTATTGATGGTAAAAAAGTTTCATTGGCTAGAAAACTATAGAACAAGTCCTTCATTGCTTCTTTTAAAGAGATATCAGATCTAGTTTCATTCTTCCTCTAATTAGTAGATATCCTGGTTACTCAGATTCAGCCTATGTCCAGATGCTGCTTATATACAATGTACCTCTTGTTACAGTGCATGTGGCCAAGTTTTTAAAGAAGCACAGAAAACCCCTCAAAATATCCCATCCTGCAACGTGTTTTCTATAAATCATTCAAATTTTAGATATGATCACTTCTCTAATATTAATGGTTTTAGATACATTTGCTTTGTTGTAATTTTAGATATCATATTTAATATAATTTTAATGTTTACATTATAATTTAATATAGGCTACATTCTAGATCTCACTTATTAAATGCTAGTTGGGTGATTTTACAAATGTATTTTTAGCCATCTTAAATTTTGTTTATTATCTGTATTGGTCTTTGACTAAAATAAATTGAAATGATTGATTGAAATCTACTAGTATTCCCCCTCTCTTACTTTCAAATATATATAACCTGATTTTCCCCCCTTAACTCATTTAATTTTATGCTGTTTAACATGCACATATTTTACAGATAAAACAACCTAGAACTAAGGAGAAATTTTCTGACATTTAGAACAATAGAACAGCTTGTCCCCAGAAGTTGTGAATGTTGCAACACTGGAAGTTTTTAAGGAGAGATTGGACAACCATTTTCTGAAATGATAAAGGGCTTCTTGCCTCTGTTATACGTTTTAGTACAATTTGCCATATCAACACATTGGCCCATAGATACTAATTTCGGCATGATATTGGATAATCAAGGGTTTAACATAATGCTTTAAACGGAAATGTAGATTAATTATCAGTCTTGGTTGCACTCTTGTCATACATATAGAGCATGGATTGGGAGAAAATCAAATGGAGTAATATAGTTATCTGCTGTTTGCTATAACATATAATGTGTGTTGTTTGGTTATTCCTTTAGGAAAGGGTAAAAATCTGAATTAACAATGACCAAAATTTATTAAAACAAAATAACACCATTTTAATAATCAGGTACACACATTTAGCATAGCAGTAGAAGATGTGTGGTAAATTGCTTGCTTTCAAATTTTCCCCTCCAGTTCCTTTCTATCCATTTGGGAATAAGAAAGAGAAATAAGATGGGAGTTGAGAGCTTGGATTTCTTCTGACAGAACATCAGCAACCTTGCCCCAAACTAGAAAGTATAGAACAAAAATTCCATTAAAATAATAGAAAGGGTGGCTGGAACCTTGCCCATCATTGGCTGGAACTACAACAGTAGGTATAGAATGAAAGACAGAGTCATATTCCAACCAGTTGGACATTCCTCTGTTCGCAGTTGAGAAAGAATAGCATCCTCATGTGTTCACATAGCCATGAGTAAAAAACTGGTAAAATCTCTGCAATAGGAGCTTGTGAGATAAATCTGTATACTACTAAAACATTTGTGTCTTTCCCTTTAACTAGGAGACTATCCTCTCCTCTTCAAACTCTTTTAGAAATTTTGTTTTCTGTGCAGGTAAGTGCCAACAGTTCAATAAATGCCCAGATATACCCATTTTTGGAATGGGCAGCCCATTCAGCGGGGACTTTATTCTGAATTGAGTGCCAAGTACAGTGGCTATATAAATTGATTAAATAAATGTTTGCACAACTATAAATTACTTATGTGGAGCTGCCTTTGAAGATGATTTAGAAATGGCAGCTGGCCCAGAACATAGCAGCTTAGTTCCTGACCAGGTATAATGGAAGTTAGAGTTGACTTTATTTATTTATTTATTTATTTTTAAAATTTGATTTATATGCCACCCTTCTCCGGAGACTCAGGGCGGCTTACAATGCGTTAAGCAATAGCCTTCATACTTTTGTATATTTATACAAAGTCAGCTTATTGCCCCCACAAACTGGGTCCTCATTTCACCTACCTTAGAAAGGATGGAAGGCTGAGTCAACCTTGAGCCTGGTGAGATTCGAACTTACAGTAATTGCAGACAGCTGGTGTTAATCACAATGCTATCAGTCTGCTGAGCCACCAGGCCCACTTTGCAGAAGGTATGAAAGAATTCTTAAAAAGAAAGACTTGGATTTTGATGAGAGGTTACAGGGTCAGAAATAAAAACAAAATATAAGAAAGAAATAACCATACTTTGATTTGGTTTAGTATGAGATGGTATGGAGAGAAATTTGACTGGGCCTTCAAGATTTTGTTTTTTACCCTACAACAATAAAATAGCATTCTTGGGATCCCTATAGTATCTATTTCTTGCTTTTGCCTACCCTGAAGGGCTGACACATGGCCTAAAGTAATTCAGCAGTGTAACATCCATTTTATAATAGCTGCAGTAGCTGCTAGTAGGTTTCTGGGTCCAATTTTAACTCATGAGAGTCTCATTCTGTAGCTCCTTACATGGCTTGAATCTACCTTGACTAGATAGACAGTGCAAGAGGAGATGTTTCAAGTCCTTACTTCCATAAAATTTTCGGCGAGTATTTTGGAACAGGACTTCTCAGAAGCTGCCTTAGTGTAGAAAATAAAGAAGATGACCTTGAAAGAGATTTGCAGGAGCCACTGCCTGGACAAAAGGAGCTGAACATTTTTCAAGTCCAGAATTGTGAGATAATGTTTGGAACCAGTTTAGGCAGACTCAGTTTGCCTAATTCACTGTATTATAACAAGGAAGGAAAGGACCAGCACAATCAGATTTGCAAGATTGTATTATTGTAGTTACTATCCCAACTCAGTGTATTTATTATCTTAACTACTAATACAAGTAGTTTCAGACTTTTGGTGCAGTTGATCTGGTCTGGTACATCTAGTGGAACTGTTTACCTTATCTTCTCGCCCCAGAAGTCTTGTTGACTCCTATATTGCTATAATATAGGCAGTGCATTAAATCAATTCTAAATTGGAAATACTTTAGAGGTTAACATCTGCTGCTATGCTGGCAGGTATAGCATTGATTTCATTTATTATTTAATATTACATTCTATAAACTTTTGTCTTATGGATGTAAACAATTGAGATACTGGCAGTTTACAGATAATATAATAATGCTAAATAATTTCAAGAAATTGAATGACTGAAATTCTCTATTGTGAAGTTTCAATATTTTTTGAAAGAGTTATATTTCCATAGAATAAGAAAAGTAGATTATAGGATTGTTTAAGTATTCATCTCTCACCCTGCAGTTTGAAATTCTATTGTTAAAAAGAGCTACGGTACTTTGTCTTTTGTCCACTAATTTCAACATCAACTTTCCTTCTACTAGTTATAGTAAGGACTTAATTGTTAATCTCCATTTGCAGTATGGGATAATATATTGGAGAGTTTATGTTTCCATTCTTTGGGGAGAATGCATTTGCATGGCAATATTTAATGTTTATTTAATTATTAATAACAAAAAATATCACCCATGAAAAAGGTCAGAAAGAAAATCTTTCTCTTTTGTTTTTGTAGTTTTCTTCTTTTCTTCACCTTTAGCAGAGGTAAACAAATCACATAATCATGAGAAATCATTATAAAAATTACTTTCTGGAATTCTCTATTGTCTTCCATAAGCAGTTGTCACCTTTAACATTCTCAGAACAATCACACACAACTCTAACCAGGAATTTAGTTTGTTGTCCAATACTTTTTTTTTGTTTTGAGAAAGTAATCAGGATAATTGTCATCTTGGACATTCATGGGAATAGATTGTTCATTGATTAAATAACTGCTATCCAATTGTCCAGAAGTACAGGCTGTAAGAGAAAAGTCTTGTGGCTTCAAACTGTTAGGCATATACCATGCATGTTCTGCTTTCATTATCCTGCTTCAATCAATTCTTTTCAGTAAGTACACATCATGTTCTATCTTAAAGAGAGGTAGTCATCAGGCCACAGTAGGTGTCAAAATAATCTTTATTAGCAAAGTAATTAACATCTTGGGGGTGGCAAATGCTTATATTTTCCCCCTGCTACTTAAGATGGGGATTTAATATATTTTTCTGGGAACGTGACCTCACACCATTGCAGCATTTAGTGGAGAGGAAGAGGATTTGGGTACAATAGTTCTTTATGGAGTGCTGTCATATAATGTCATCAAAAAGAAAGATGACACTCATACAAAAAGTGTAATCTGATTTGCTTTTCTTCTTAAGAGGATATTCTAAAATTGTGCTTATATCAGGCAAATTTGTACAAAATGTGTTACTCATACATATATTTTGCATAGTGGTTTAAGCAATGTCTGGGGTAGTTTTAATCCAAAAGGAACTGTTCATTGTAAATGCATAAAGTAATCTTCACATTTCCTAAAACATAATGCAAACCTACATAAATCTTGACTTGCAAAAACCTGGGAAAGATACTTCTGGAATTCAACTATTGCTCCTGGCTCTTTTCTGAGTCTTGGGAGAAAAACGTCACTTCCACTTTATAGATTACTAGATAGAATGTGGGAAAATATTTCTCTATGAGACTATGCTCAACAGTGTTTATTACAGGATACTTAAGATCCCACACTACTGTACAACAAATTTACATCATCTGTCAATGTGATCCTCTGCCTTATTTGATGTTTAGTTTAACTAAATTTGGTAAGGCTCTCCTTTTTAACAAATACATATCGAACTGGAACTACATACCAAAGTGTACATCTTAATTTATTGAAGGAGAGAGTGTCATAGAATTAAGAAGAGAGACTAAGAAGGGCTGTTAACAAAAACAGAGTCAATCAGATGTGCAGTTCACCATTCTACAAAGGACTACAATGCATATTTTATACTTTCATTGAATGGTCTTCCTTATATTTACATCCCTACAAGAAAAAAATAGAATTTATAATCTCACTTTATTTTGGGGACAAATCATTATATGCAAAAATTATATCATCCTTCCTAGGGTCACACATAATTAATAAAATCCTAAAATATTAATTGTAACTATTAACAAAAGAAATATCCATTCCTGATACCCTCTAACCCAGTGATAATTTTGTGAAGTTCTTAGCAATTTCCCCTCCAGGCCACATTTACTGTTATTTCTTTATTATTTTACAGAAATGTTCCTCTTTTCACTATTATTAGGTATTTAAAATACTGATAGGTAAAACTTTCAGCATTCATAGGATCTGCTGTTAATGCATGCCAAATCCGAGTTGATTTAGAGCTACCCACAACTACACGTAGTGTCACAGCACACCTAAAGTGTGGATGATGTGTAAGTGTAGGTTACAGATGGCTACAGACAGGCCAACACACACATCTTCCAAATACCAATTGTGTTTTGCAGAGGTGTGCACCCTTCATGCTGATTGGTTGATTTTACATCTTGTTCTGTTCTTTTCTGTTTGAGCAGAAAAGCACAGAATGAGCATTTGCAGATGTATAAGTGCAACAGCTATGCAACCAAGGAAGTCTATCAGCATGTTTATGTCATTGTTCCTGGAAGAGGGGGGAGAGGAGGGGGGATATTTGATTTCTCTGTGTTAGGAATCAATGAAGTCAATTCTCTTTTAAATTGCCCTTTTCTCAGAGAGCAGAACATAGTTACAGTACGCTGGAAATGTCCTCCAAGTGTAAGCAGTAAACCCTATACTAAACGATTTCTCAATTCAACTCCTCTTCGCTTCGCTTTCTGTGCACTTGGATTCCTAAACTATAGGAAGGAGTGGGTCAGAGAGATGTCTCTGAATGTCCAAATGCTCAGATGTTGCCTCAAGGTGTTCAGGGAGAGAATGGAAACGAGATCCTTGGAAAAGTTTCTGGTTATTAGGTATCCTCCAGTGAGGTTCTTGTTTTGACAGGAACTGTGGATAAAGCTCTTGCTGGGAATTGATTGCTACAGTATCATTTAAAGCCAGTGACAGGGGTAAACCACTTGGCAACAAATTCCTAGATTTTACTGTTTTTTTCCCAATTTCACAATAATTTGGAATCTAGTGAGGAAAGAAAAATAAAATCATACTTCCAGTAATATATTTGTGTGACACAGAATCTCAACAATAACATGAAAACTCAATGTTTAAGAATCTATCATAACTATAGAAATATAGTTAGAGAAGCATTATGGTAATAAAATTAAAGAGAGTTGAGCTACCCTTGGTCTATGGGCTGCATGTTCTAAATCATTCTAAACTTGACTGTAAAAATATTTCTGTAATAGAATTGTCAAAGTCTAGAATGCTCTACCTGATTCAGTTGTTTCAGCTACAAATTTTCACAGTTTCAGTCACAAATGGACTTCCGTGTACCTTACATATTCTTAAGTGGTCAGTAGAGGGGGTGTGCACTAATGTGCCTATCATCCCTGTTATTGTATTTTTATTCTTTTATTCTTCTTCTCATTTTTGTTTGAAAAATTCTAATAAATAAATAAATATGAGTCTCGCTACCAGAGCAACTTCAGATGGTGAGCTGAAATTTGGTGGCAAAATGGTCCAATTTTGATTAACATTTTTTACTTCCCCATTTGCATACTATGAATTTGAAGTGAAGATTTGATGAACAAATATCATATTATTTATTTGCATATAACTAAACACATGCATATATCTTTTTGGACATGCAATTTAAAGAAAACTCAAACTGAAAAATGGTGAACTTGTGATGGAGGGATTTAATGAAACTATTTTAAAAATTAAACAATTCTGAAATCTTTAACTTTTGTGGCTATTATTATAGGCAAAATGTAAAAGCCTGAGCTGGTTCCTAGCTACTTTAGAATTAAACGTATTTTCAAAACTACAATACAGATATCCTCTTTTATTTTGATATAAAGAAGGTTGCAATATGGGCACAACTCCCTGAAAATTGACTGTATTATACATATACTTAGTATGGTTCCCTGCATTGAACAAACAAGTGATAAAACACAGCAAAGGGGGAAAAAGTATAATATATTTGAGGCAGAATAGTTTCTTCCTACAGAATATAGCTTTCTTCTCCCCATCCTTTTCCCCCCTTTCGTTAATTGACCCTGAGTCAGAGCAGACTATTTTAGCTTATTTTTTTACCTTCCCAATCTGACATGACTTTGTAGCAATAAAGCTCTTAACTGCTTCATTGAAAATGAATAATTCAGATTCTTGTATCCAGTGGGGAAAATGGTAGTTTAATTATCTCCAGAGAGCACATTTCAGCTTGTTTTGCCCCCGGTTGTTGGTAGGGAGACAGCTTTTTCATTTCTCTGGATTTAAAGAGGAAACCAGAAATCAACCCATTTGTTTGGATTTTTGTTTCTCATGAGCAAGCCATAGAAATGGAGATTTTCCCTCGTGGCTGGTGAGTTGAGGGGTCTTTCAGCAAGTTCAGAGCTATGATGTAGCCTAAATTAGAACCAATCTACCTCATTTCTAATACACTTTTTGGATTGGAATTTCTTTTTCAGTTAAAGATAGAAGAGATACAGATGAGTTTTTCTCTTTGGTGATATTTATAATTTTTGGAATTATAATATTTAGAAACAGCTCAGAAGTTTATTGACTTTTCTTGCCTCATAAAAAGTTGAGAATTAAAGAAATTAAAAGACTTGTAGCTTTTCTTTTTAAAAGATTGAATAGGAAGAATGTCTTCTGTGGGACAACTGTCTTGTTTATATATCAACGATAAAACAAAACCTTCAAAATCCATTTCTAGAACAAGATGTCTATTTTAAAGAAAATGTTTGATTTAGGGGCCTGTGAAGTGCTTGAATTTTTTAATTGTTTACTTTAATCAGAAATTATTACTAAAGACAAACAAATATCTCTGGAGACAACAGATGGATTCACTAGATTTACAAATAGAGTTGAATGACTATTCAAAAAATTGAAAAAGACATTGTGGATTACTCTTTCAAACAGAAATGTAAGAGATTTATTGGACTGACTGACTGAAATTACAAGTGAACTTCAAGGTAAGAATTTTAACAGAATAAGAAATGATACTAGAAGAAAACAGGAGCCAGAATTTTATCCATTGCCATGGGGTAATGGATTAATTTTTGATACCTAAAACTTTTCTTTTTGGTAATATTTAAAAGTGTTTACTTTTTTTTTTTGTAATGTTTAATTGTTAAGAGAGGGATGCGGTGACCATAGACTAAATAGAAAAGAAACCTATATATTCATGCTATTAGGTATTTTTGCTATTTTTACTGGATCTTTGCTGATTAATAAGGAGAGCTGAAGTTTACAGGCCAATTTATACAAAATGGAATGAGCTATGGAATGAAGAAGTATTTGGCTGTATTTTAAGACACAATGAGATGTTAATGAAGCTACTTTTGGACACTGCAAGAAACTAACAGAAATGTAATTATGGTTTTGGGATTTGATTATTAGAATTACATGGGATTAAAGAAATAATAGTAAGACCTTTGTTAATTATAGAATAAGAGTTCGATGTATTTTTTAATTTACTGTAAAACTGTATCCTTTTTTTGTTTGCACTTTTCTTTTGTTTTTTGTATGATTCTTTTTTTCTATTTTCTTTTTTCTTGCTTTGTTAGTTTTTATGCATTGTTTCAAAATAAATAAAAATAACACCCATATTTTAAAAAGCCAAGAAATGAATGTTTCAGTTTTTTAATGCCTTTATCTTACCTCTTTCAGGGGAGTCAGTTCCTCTTCTCCCAGGGATGGCTCAGGTTCTGTGTTCCTTAGGTTCATGCTATACAGAGACAAATTACGGGAGGAAGGCGAGATGGAACTATATGCAGGTGGCACTTGAGACAGCTGGCGCTGTAGCAGCTGCAGAATGAGATTAATGTCGGAAGACATCCTGGATTCTAGTCTATATGAGAGAACACAGTATTTTCCCCTGAGGCATTTTGATTTCTGAGGCAGTACAGAAGATTGATTTAAGAGCAGTTAGAGTTAGTATAGAACGTTTTCAAACAGTGAATTATACAATAATAAAAACCAGAAGTCTGGTAACACCTTTCCCAACTAATAATCTGATTAAAAGGTTTCTATTCTATTCTATTCTATTCTATTCTATTCTATTCTATTCTATTCTATTCTATCTATTCTATTCTATTCTATTCTATTCTATTCTAGTCTAGTCTAGTCTAGTCTAGTCTAGTCTAGTCTAGTCTATCCCTATCCTATCCTATCCTATCCTATCCTATCCTATCCTATCCTATCCTATCCTATCCTATCCTATCCTATGTTTTCAAAACTTATGCCTTTTAATAAAATGTGTTAGTTGGAAAAAGTGCTATCAGAATTTCCTAATGTTTGCTATACATAGGTTAATATGGCTCTCCTCCTATCGTGTGCAACACCAAGACTCTTCCTTTAAAAACTGAGCTTTATTTTCAGTTTCCAAAAGCTATTAGAGTCCCTTGGGAGTTGGGCGGCATAGAAATGCGACAAAATAAATAAATAAATAAATAAATAAATAAAAATAAATAAATAAATAAATAAGGGCACTAAATTTGGCTATTTATTTTTAAGCAGCAGTTGTAATTCCAGGAGGACCTCCAGATGCTGCACTGGTTCATTTGGGGTAGTGGAAGCCCATCCAACACTAAAAATGGTATAGATAGTATTCAATTTATGACTGTTTGTGTAATGACAATTTCAAATTATGAAAGCCTTGAGAAAAGTGACATATGGCCTGTCCTCAAAATTATAACCATCACTCTGACAGTCATGTGATTGCAATTTGGATGCTTGGCAACTGGCTGACATTAATGACAGGTGCAGTGTCTTGAGGTCACATAATTGTGATATGTGATCTTCCTAGCCAGCTTCTGACAAGCAAAGTCAATTGGGGAAGCCAGATTCACAACCACATGCTGTCAGCCCTGGAGGCCATCTTTTTCTTTGCATTTTCAGGGCTGCCACACTTAGTGCTGTGGGAAACTGGGCGGGGAGGATTGCATGGAGTTGTGGAGATATCTAGCCATAATAGGGTGGGGAGTGGGAGGCACTGCCATACTGTGGTTCTCCTCCTATTTCTCCGACCAGTCGCAGTCTGTGTTGGCTGGAAGGCAGAGGTCGACCTCAAGGCACTTGGTTTGTGGGGTGCCACAAGGGTCGGTTCTCTCACCCCTTCTGTTCAACATTTATGTGAAGTCGCTGGGTGAGATCATCCGTGGTTTTGGGGTGAAGTATCATCAGTATGCTGATGATACTCAGCTATACATCTCCACCCCGGACCACCCCAGTGATGCCCTTAAAGTGATGTCCCAGTGCCTGGAGGCTGTACGGATCTGGATGGGGAGGAACAGACTCAGGCTCAACCCATCCAACACCGAGTGGCTGTGGTTTCCGACGTCCCGATATAGTCAATTGGTGCCATCACTGGCTATTGGGGATGAGTCATTGCCCCCCACAGAGAGGGTTCGCAACTTAGGCGTCCTCTTGGACTCATGGCTGTCTTTAGAAGAACACTTGACGGCTGTGGTCGGGAGGTCTTTTTATCAGGTTCGCCTGATTCGCCAGTTGCGTCCCTTTCTGGATCGGGACTCGTTAAATACGGTCACTCATGCCCTCGTCACTTCACGCCTGGACTACTGTAATGCTCTCTACATGGGGCTCCCCTTGAGGAGCACCCGGAGGCTCCAGCTGGTCCAGAATGCGGCCGCGCGGGTAGTTATGGGAGCAGCATGGCGCTCCCATGTGGCTCCCCTCCTGCGCGAGCTGCACTGGCTCCCTGTGGTCTTCCGGGTGCGCTTCAAGGTCTTAGTTACCACCTTTAGAGCGTTCCATGGCTTAGGACCGGGGTACTTACGAGACCGCCTTCTGCCACCAATAGCCTCTCACCGCCCAGTACGCTCCCATAGAGAGGGGCTTCTCAGGGTGCCGTCAGCCAAACAGTGTCGACTGGCGGCCCCCAGGGGGAGAGCCTTTTCTGTGAGGGCACCCACCATCTGGAACGAGCTCCCCCCAGAGATACAGAAGATTCCGGATCTGCACACTTTCCGCCGTGCCCTCAAAACATTCCTGTTTCAGCAGGCCGGCCTGGCCTAACTTTCCCTTTATATTGCTTTTTTGATTTTATTTTAAACTGGGATGTCTTGAATTATCTAGGACCAGAGTGTTTAGTATATTTTAATTGGTTTTTTTTTAATTAACGTTTGTATTACATGTATTTTTATCGTTCGCTGTTCACCGCCCTGAGTCCCTTAGGAATAGGGCGGTATATAAATTAATTAATTAATTAAATAAATAAATAAATAAATAAATAAATAAATAACATTATTTTCTTTGAGAGTCAAGGACAATCTGCCTGCACCTGGAGTGGCGTGACTGGGCGGCATCTCCAGTTGGGACAGTGCATTGATTAGACCATGTGATGGACATGTGGGTGCAGGAGAAGGGGCTTCTCCTGCACCCAGGACTTTCTTTTAAGCGGGGAAAACCTGGAAGCTTTCAGATTCAGGTTTTCCCAGAGATGCCAATATGACATCTCTTTCTTTTGTTGGGGGTGTTACTTGGAATCCTGACACATAATTTGCTTAACAGCCATGGCAAAATGGGTCCAGTCATGTGATGATTCACTTACTGACCACATCACTTAACAACCAAGATTCCAGTCACAATTGTAGTCATAGGTTGAGGACTACCTGTAACGTCTTAGAATCAGCAGGCCTCAAACTCACTCAGTCTTGTCAGGGTTTAACTGAAACCTGTTGTTCCCATCCAATCCTTCACAACCCCCAGATACCATGATAAGACATTCACGGCATTTTTTAAATCAATAATGACAATGGATGAATTTGTCCCGCAGCTTCATACATTTGTTGAATTTGAGAGAAGAGCACTGAACTCGGCAGCATCATCTCTCATGCCCAATTACTTTCAGGAATTTGGGATGCATTGTTGAATTCCAAAGCTATTAGAACTGGAACATTCTTATTTTCAAATCACTGAGTGTCTGAATTTACCTGCTAAGCTGTGCCTGCAGGCATTCCAGCTTTGCTTCAATCTGCCGTGGTCCATCCTCAGGGTTTAGAGGTGTGCCCAATGGGCTATGTACCAAGGAGATGTGCTGGAAAGGCTCCGATAAGAGACTGGGCTTTTTTTTCTCCCAGAATGTGAACAGGTTGGAAACATCCAGTGATGTTGCTGGGAGTTGAAAGAAAAAAGTTATCTATATAAAATTGCATGGCATGGATCCAGGTTACCTGAGGAGCCATTTCAACCCAATGGGATTGGCCCGCCTCATCTGGGCCAGCAGAGGAGGCAGGCTGTAGACCCTGTTGATCAAGGGATTCCAGCTGCTGGGGTCCAGAAGAAGAGGTTTCTCTCTTGTGGCTCCTATATTTAGAACTTCTTGCCTTCTGTGATGAGATCTGCTCCCACCCTCCTGACCTTCCATAGAGCCTGAAGACCTCCTCTGCCATTTGGTTTGGGGCTCTAAGTAGCAAGCAGCAGAGTATCATGCTAGACGGATAGCAGATCCCACCCCCAGGCATCCTGCTCCTTCCCACCCTGCCTTTTAATTATGCTGTATTTTTATAGCTATTAGATACACATATTTTTATGGTTTTATTGCTTTTAATGTTGTAAGGGTCAGTTTGCAGCAAAATGGGCAGCAAACAAATTTAAAAAATTAACAAGTAATTAAAAGGGTATGATTTTGTTTCAATATATATTTATGGCATCGTTATATCATTTTTCATTTTAAAAAGCTGTTTAATAAAATAAAACATCTATTTCTGAAAAAATAGAAACATGATAAAACCAATCAAACCAATTAGTATAAACCAGTTTATACTATTAATATAAAATTAAACCAGTTTTTACTAACAATATAAAACACTAAAACTAACAATGACTAATGAATTACAATAATAAGAGTTGATACAAAAGATCAGTGGAAGGCCTGTTTAAGTTTGTTTGTTTTTTTGGCAAAACCTGTCAGGTTTCCTTGTTTTCTATTACAGTAGTTTTGTGCGGTGGGTACCACTTTTCAGTATGTCTACTTTTGCACTACAGCCAGATGAATGTCAGCAGTACCTAAGTATCAGGTCACAAATATACTTGGTTTAAAATTATTCCTATTTATAATTCTTAAAATGTTTGTTAAGTGTCTCTTTCTCATTAAGTAGTATAATTTGTTGTATTTAGTCCTACCCTTGATTGGTCTTAATCACTCACTTGTTCTTTAAATATTCCCTCTTACAATTCCCTCTCCTCAGTTTGCATTGTCCTGTTGATTTAAAAATTATATACTGTACAAAAAGATATATAAATACTTGTATCAGTATGCTGTAGGGAGGAAATAAAAAATATCTTTATGCTAGTCTTCTCCCATTTCTGCAGTATGAAAAAAAATGTCATGGCTTTTGCCATATCTCAAGGGCTGCAAATTTCTTTAATGCTTCTAAAATGGGTTTGTTCCTCATTGCCAGCTGTGTCTGAAGATGAAAATATCCTGGGTCCCTCTTGAGAAGGTATTTAAAAGTTCAATATTGGTACTTTGATCTGTATTCTTTTTGGATATCTTGATAAGCACACATATATGTTATTGAAAGAAAAGGAAAAGTGATTTTGAGAGTGAGACCAATGGGCATATCTTTTGTCTTTGATCTCCTTGATTTTAATCTATATAAGGACTGGCCAACCCTGTTTTGGTGGTACATTTAGGTTTACTTGATACCTGAAAAGAAAGAAAAGGGAGGAGAAATGGTGATGGGAAGAGGAGAACACACTAATTGTTTAACTTTTGGCATTTGCAACAAAAATTACAGTGAAAAACTGCAAAAAATGGACTTAGCCTACATGTATGTAAATATATGTATATAAAAGTACTTTTTCTAGCATCATAAAGACTTTTGTTTTAGCAGCATGAATATTCTAGAGACAGTGACAAGACAAAAACTTTCAGTACATAATTGATTAAGGTCTTATCAATTTCTGGCAGTAGCATAGAAGGGTACTAAGCAACTTAAGGCCCACTTCCAAAGGTGTTAGACAAGGACGCAGCTTGGCCCAGATACAATTCAATCTTTATTTTAATGACATCTTGGGATTTCTCCATTCTATTAATGTCCACGTGCCAAAGAACTTTAACAGATATATCAACCTTCTGTTGGATGCAGGTGACATGATTCTTCTAAGTAGGCCTGAGAAGATTAATGAGGAAATTTAGTGCCTGTTATGCTTCTATATAAGATTAAATCAAAGGTAGTAGTTTTGAGGGAAAGACAGGCCAAATGCAACTGGCAATCTGATGGGGAGCTATAAAATTTATCATATTTAGGGCAGCAGTGAAATCCACTTACCTTCACTACCGGTTCAGGAATGGGAGTGCGCAGGAGCATGGGAGCCTTCTGCACATGCGCAGAGGGTCAAAAACGGGACGTAATGACATCCCGGTGGGTGGGCGGAGCCTCCTGCTGCTGGTACTACCAGTTAGCACGAGCTGGATAGATCAGGCCGGATTTCACCACTGATTTAGGGGTGGATATAATCTTAGCCAACCACTTCAAATGAAGTTCTACAAAGATAACCACAAGCTCGAACATGCTTTGTATTTTAAAGATCCACAAAGCAAAAATTGTATCAATGTTAACATATATAACGCCCCCTTACTTGAACAATTAGGTGCACTTTTTAAGAACTATTCTAGGGACCGATAGGAATACATCTGTAGCAGCAGTACAAGCATAAAGAGGCACCCCTTCATCTATAGTCTAACAGTAATGAAAGTTTTTAATTATTAATCTATGATCCTCTCAGTGGAAGCTGACGGAGTACCACAAATGTGCCTTAAAGAACAGATGGGCACACTTCAACCAACCACATGGATCAATCAGTTTTTCCAAATTGTCTCACGCTGTGGCCTCTCATCACAATACCTATCCTCAATCTGCCATCAGGCCAGGACAATATTCAAACAATGAGTTTTGGATAAAGTCTTTGGCTAAACCAAACTAATATTGAGCCACTTGCAAACATCAAGGTGCTGAAATGGCTGGCCAAAAATAAAATAACCTTCCAAAGAGAAAAATACTTGACAATGGATTTGACTCAGAATCATAAATAGCTCTTACCAGAGAAAGATTCAAGCTGCTAGACTGTATGATCAAATAGGGAAGTCAAGTGCCATATCTTGAGAGAATGTGTATTTGTGGAACATTAGAAACAGAAGGCATTAGCGCATATCCTCCTATTCAGTTATCAATTATGTGCCTCAGCAAGGATTCAAATCTTACAAACACTATTCAACAGAACCATAAATGGGTCCCAAAAGATTACCTTATTTTTTTCAGGGCACAAATATAAATGTAGTCACTAGAACTGTTAAATTTATAGTCAGAGCTGTCCAATAAAGAATATGTATTATAGAACACATCGGGGATCTGAAATGTGAAACTGATAAATTCACTTAAACACACGCTGTTTCTGAACTTTAGGATTCATTTTATTATCTATCTTTGCATTCTATTTTACTTCGTGTTATTTTATCTTACTCTTTTATTTTTAGCCTATATTACCTACTATATTTTAGTCTATTTTATCTCACCATAGCCTATTTTATCACACTTCGCTTTCTTAACCTTGCCTCATTTTGTTGTATTTTACTATGGCGATGCTCATGGTTTGATATGGTAAAATCAACAAAGTATTCTGTTCCTACAATAAATTACACTAATACAAAGGATTAATTTTAGGTCAAAGAGTTGAACTTGTTAACACTTATTAAATTAGCACTTATTAGGGTAAGTTAGTAGTTATTAGAGAAATGTGGCGTTGCAGAAAAATGCTACTCAGGAAAGAAAGCTTGTTAGATATTGAAAAGCTAGACAATGCTTGATTTAAAGGCTATGCTTGCCAGACAGAGGATGAGGAGACATTCCCTTCTTTTGCTGGAGGTCTGGAAATCGTAAGTGCATCTATTGTGGGGGTTTTCAAACTGGATTTAAAGAACTATAAGAGTTGAATAGATTCCATGGGATTAAGTGTAAGGAAAAAATCCTCTCAATGAGGAATTTGGGGAGGGAAAATCCTCTCTGCTAGAGGCTAAGTCTTAATTCCTGGAGTAGAAGGTGTGCTTTTTAAAAAACATAGTCCCGTGTGGAACAGGAGTTTCTTTTCTACAAGGGAGGAACGGGGAATTTTTTTTCCACAGGTGTAGAGGAAGCAGGTTGATAACCTTGATAAAAGTCTGCAATAGCTGTTAAGAGAAAATAAAAGACAAGTCAGTCCTAGGAAAGGTGAAAGCATTCAAAATCAGTCCACCTTGATTCTGTTTAGTTGTAGGGATAGAGAAAAACTTTGGTTGATTTTCAAAATTGTTATTGCATCCTAAAACATGTTAGTAGATAGCCTGAAATCCTCTTCCTGTCTTAGCCTATCTTCAAAGATCTGACAGCAAGGAACTAAAGAAAAGGAGTTTAATCCAATGGTGGGATTCAACTTTTTTTACTATCAGTTCTGTGGCCGTGGCTTGGTGGGTGTGGCTTTGCTTGGTGGGCGTGGCCTTGGTGGTGTGGCAGGGGTAGGATACTATAAAATCTCCATTCCTACCCCACTCCAGGGAAAGGTTACTGTTAAACCTCCATTCCTTCCCCACTCCAGGGGAAGGTTACTGCAAAATCCCTATTTCCTCCCAATCAGCTGGGACTCGGGAGGTAGAGATGGGCCAGTCAGAGGTGGTATTTACCAGTTCTCTGAACTACTCAAAATTTCCACTACCGGTTCTCCAGAACTGTCAGAACCTGCTGAATACCACCTCTGGTTTAATCCCTTGCAGAGTCCCCCCCCCAAAAAAGCACTAAGATATACCACCCATTTTGATCAAGAGTGTTGGAATTTGTTGCTTTTTAAAGGCAAATTGGTTCTGCACCCTGAAAAACTTTGAAACCTCCTTATTTAGTGAGTCTCTTTCTCCCTACCCCCCACACATATGTACACAAGAATAAGTGAAAATGTCTATGATTTTTGGTGCATAAGTGAAATTTTAGTCACACTAATTCTTCTCCAGGAATCAAACTACCCGCTTCCTAAAATTTTGTGGAATTTAATATTCATGAGGCAAGCAACAGTGTTATGTCCTACACAAATTCTTCTCTATTCCAAAAATTAACATGGTTATAAAAATAAAATTCTTGAACCTATTAGTTAATCATAAACCTCAAGTCAAACATATTATTTCATTTCTACACCCTACATGAGCAATAGTTACCCATACCTGCGTAGGCTAGATTTTCTTCAGTTACCAGTTGACTGGCTTTGGTGCCATCAGTGACCAGGTTAACCACAGTTGGGGCAAAATCATTGTTTTCAGTATCTGTGAAAGGATCAACCTTGATGGGATTGGGCATCTTGGCTTCCTCTTCACTCATTTGGGAGCAGGATGTTGTGGTGCTGTGTATGTCAGGATGCTGCACTGGTGTAAATTCAGAGTATCCATGACATTGCTCCAAGTCTGAGTTGCCTGCATCCATGCTATCTGAATCTGTAGTAAGTGTAAAGAATGCAGAAAAGCCTCACATAGTCTGAGAAATTATTAAATACTGATAGAATCTCTCAAACTTCTACAAATACAATGGCCATAATTAGGCCATAAAAACATCTGGGCATTTTAATATCCTGCATGGTGGTGAGAAATATAAAATACGTTGACCATTGTTTCACATTCAATATATAGAGCAGCAAAAATCATTTACTTTGTGCAGGTTAATTTACTAACAACTGGAATAATATAGTCTTTCTAGAATCTTTAAGCCAACTATAAGCAAAGAATGTATACAATATTTCTGCATAGGAATAAATATGTTGTCCAAATATATTAATATATTGTATTTGTCAACAATTAAATGGAATAATTCCTTTATTTTTTCTTGTAGTCTTAGATGCCTTATTAAATATCCTCCAAATAATGCATGAGATATGATGATAATAAATGAGATAAATCATGTTTTACAGGTCCTGAAGGTTATAATTCACATAAAACTGAATTCAAAGCCAAAGCCTAACATAATACTTTTCTTCTTTAGTCCAGAGCACTAGTAAGATGGTTATTTTTGCATTCCAAATTACACTTGATAAATTATAGGTGATAAATCTGGGTGAGTGGCTGAAGTGATAGATTTGTCTTCATAAACTTACAGTACAAAGCCTGATTCTCCAGATGTTATTGTACTACAGTTTCTTTGCCCAGGGACTGCATTGGCTGAGAGATAATAGGAACTGTACAATTCAGCACATTTGGAAAGCCCAGATTGAAAAAGACACTTTTGGAAATAATCACAAGGTGGCAGTAGCGGACTTCCTACTTTCCTCCTAATCTTAATGCCCGAATTTAGTACAATTCCCAAGAGGCTAACTCACCAATTTTATTAGCTTGGCAGGGGGAATGTTTATGATGACGTGTTTGGCGATAGTTGCATGTGTAGTCTTCACTGAGGAAAGAACGAGGAATACTATCTGCCTGAAGGAAAAACAGGGCAAAGTGTAAAATATGGTGGAAAAAGTAATTCTGAGCAGCTAAAACAATCCAAACTCCTTATAATTATCCTAATAGTAGTCAAATAGGTCAGAAATATTTAGATATTCGTGTTTTAGAAAGAACATAAAAGTAAATTGTTCCCAACATTATGCATAAATGCATAAAATTGCTTGGGCTTTGAAGAGCTGAGTTACAATGTAGAACATCATAAAAATTATTCATTTATCGAAAGGTCTTATTTATTTAAAGGTCTTATTTATCGAATGTGACCTACTTTTGTGCCAAAAAAAGACAAACTATACTTAATTCTTCTAATACAACTCCTTTTTCATGTCAATTTAGGAACAAAGAGTTAATATGGATATCGCCTTGGTTAACCTTTTAAAAATGTTTCTCTCTAATCTTTTCTATCTTCCCATATTAGATACTCACATCTCTCAAGTTGAATGTTATCTCCAAATTGCTCCAAAAGTTATCTGAAAAGGATGGATACATATCCAAGACTTTCAGGAGATCTTCCCGGTGAATCTTATGCAAGTCACAATAAGTCAAGGCTCGCACATCTGCATTGGATTTTCCAGGTCTGGCATAGAGACTGATAGGCTCTCCAAAAATGTCATTCTTTCCTAAACAACACATGAACTCCTATTAAAGTATAGTAATTTTGCTGTTGTTATTTTGAATTAGAACAATTGTTCAGTCACTCCTTTGGCTGGTCCTTGATATCTACTGACACATTACAGTGGAAGTATTATAGGAAATTGTACAAATACAAATGGTGACTGCTTTTCATTTGCACCTAACCTTACAACTCAGATTAGGATTATAATCCATTCATATTAGAACTATTCATTAGTATTTTTAAAAATAAATATAAGAAATATAAAGTACTTGTTTCTCAGGTATCCCATAGCCTACTTATTAAAGATAGGGAAACAGTTATTTAGATTGTTGTCTCCAACTCCATTGCTCAGTGTAGAAATCCAAATTTAAGACAATTGTCTGTGTAGCCTACCACGGTGATGGGTGAATGGCTCCACAGTCAAACTGCTGGGATGCCCCCACCCCAATATAAGAATCTGCCCTTCTGTATCTTAAATCCATAGTTCTGCATCTTGTGATTTGAAAAATACTATCATATTCCCTTCCAATTATTGCATTCGATTTTTGTTTTCTAAGTGAAAAACATTACATTTGAACCAGTTAAATTTGATTCTGCCTTGTTAGGCCATTCCTTTAATCTAGCAAAATCACCTTGAATTTTATTCAACAATTCAATGATACTTTTAATGTAGTGTTCCCCCTAAAATAATAAAATGAATTTATGTGATCTACTCTGAATAAAAATAATTTTACTAGGGTTTGGCAAGAAATAAATATATATACCACTTTTAATAATTAAACTTTAAATTACAGATCAAATAAACAATGATAGAATGTTTTAACTTTATAAAATGAAAACATTTCATTTTATATAGTAAATAAGAAAAAACTGATCCCAAAGAATTTTTTTAATGTTGTTATTTATTTATTAAACAAATATGTAATTTTTATATTGGCACCTATCTTTCAAAAAAGAACCTTTATTAATGGGAAGGCTAAACTTTTTTGTATTAAATGACTTCTCCTTGCCTTAAATCAGGGGTGTCAAACTCAAGGCCTGTGAGCCAGATTTGGCTTGTGGGGTTCTTAAATCCGGCCTGTGGGGCCGGCCTGGGAATATCAAAGGACCATCCCGCAGTGCCTCTGTGAAAATGGCCCAAAAACAGGCCACGTGGGGGCCTCAGGAGGTCCATTTTCAGCCAGCAGAGTGCTGCAGGAGGACATGGAGAGCGAAAACGAGGTGTGGGGGGTCTGCATGTGTCCTCCATGCTCCATTTTGGCTGGTAAAATGCTGCAGGATGTGTCTGTCCTCTTTCCCCCTGCTCTCTGACCCCCCGCCCCTGCTGCTGGCCCGTGGAGGAGAACTACAATGCTGATCTGGCCCTCAAAGAAATCCAGTTTGACACCCTTGCCTTAAATAACCTTTTTAAAAATGTTGCTTGCAGAACAATGGCTGCAAGTTGCTGTTTGCACTTTCTATCCCAATCTAGCCATCTTGAAATAATAATCTTAGCCCATCTTATTTATTTTCATTCCTTTCCTGAATTGTAATTTTCTCCTTAAAATGACTATCAGACTCTTTTTGCTGAAATCAGAGTATTATAGCTATAGCATATTCAGAATATATTAAGCAAGTTACCAAACAAAAAATGAATTGCAATAAGGTCAGTCTGAAAAGACTTTATTGACAAATTCAATCATGATTGGTCTCTTTCTCTTTTTTTGATCAAGTCAAGGTCATGGCGATTGTCTGAAAAAAGTCCCTGCAGTTTTATTGATAGTGTTTTGAAGTGTTTTGTTTGAAAGGGCTAAGTAACTGGCCTATGATAACTGTACTAACTTGATGCCTAAAGTAGAACTTGAGCTCATAGTCCTCCAAATTTTAGCCTGTTGCTTTTAACCTTGTTTAGTTACCACAATTGGACCAGCAATTTAGTTATTAAGAGAAACAATCACAACTCTGTTTATGATCTTATTTCAGTTTTCCATGGCTTTATAGACCTGCAAAGGTCATAAATGTAAGGATTGGTCATTTTTAGCAGCAAGTAACTTTAACTTGTTGCTAAACAAGGCAGTCAGAAAATGAGAACTACTGATACATTGTTTACAGTTTCTTACAGATCAATCTCTGTATTATCTGCTCTAGAAACTTCCAGATAATCATGTCAGATTGTCTGGTTTGTGGTTTCACCATCTTCCTTTTCTCCCTTTTTGAAGGTAAGGATAAAATTTGCTCTCCATCAACTGACACTTCTTCAAGATTTCTCAATAACTATTAATGCTGCAGCCGGACCTCTGCTAGTTTCTTCAATATCCTAGAGTGCAATTCATTCGACTTTGAAGATTTAAACTCAATCAAAGTTAATATATGTTTCTATCAATCTCAGTCTTCAATCCTGCCCCTTTGTTTTTTGCAATTTGCAAAAATTGTTTTTTACAATTATTTAGTGATATACTTAGTCATTAGAGATGATTAAACCAAAATAAGAATGAACATTGCTGCCATTTCTTCTTAGCTGTTTGCCAAATGAATACACGATATATTGATTCTTTTCTTTTATATTTTGAATGTATGTAAGATTTATTTATATGTCTATATCTATAATCCATATGTATATATCTATGTTTACGTATACACACACACACACACACACACAGAGAGAGAGAGAGAGAGTATATGGATGGCTACAGGTTAAGAAGGAGAATCCATATACATATACACCAAAAATTGTACTGTTCTTGCCAGATATAGATAGGATAAAGAAGTTGCTTTTTTCAGCTTCACTATGTTGCTGGAACTGTAGTGCCCTCTCTCTTAAGGAAAAATGGAGGGATAGAGTTTACAATTTGATAGTTCCTCAATGGCCTAATGATCAACCTCTACTTGCTGCAAAGGAACCAGTGGGTTGAAATGAATCCACCTCCCCCCATTTTCTAAAACTATTCCCCATCCTGGAAAAATTTTCACCTAGAATGGCCACCACTATGTCCTCCCTGAGGATCTCAATGGAGCCACGTGAGATAAAATAAAGAGTGGTAAGGACATCTCCATAATGCACCAGGGTATCACCAGGAGGGGCATGTGTTGTCCTGAACTTCATTGCCAAGGCACGTAAGCAGCCTTTGCTAGCTCCTCCGAAGGCCTTGCAATTTTGGAGAAGGGTGCGATTGAGGTGGAGGCTGATATCAGCCTGTAGGCAATCAGGAAATCCTTTCAGCACCTGAGTGAAATAAAAACAAGCACAGATAAGCAAATGAATTCTGTGAATCTTCCTGTATCTCAAACCCCATATTATGTAGAGGAATATATTTAGGATGTGTTGGTTATATCGATGGAGAGAATTAAACTAGAAAAAGGCCATCTATAACTAAAATAAAACTAGAAGTATCAGACATTTCATGAGTTGATAAAGTATTTTCAGATTCAGTCATCACTTCCAGAAACTAAACTTCTAAGATGGAATGCTCAACTGTTAACAATTTTCATCTTGTTTCATTCCAGATAATAACATATGTCAATCTTGGAGTTATCTATCTATCTAGACCTCATACCCAGTGATAAAAAACAATTTTAATGTTAGTTGAACATTGCTCTTTTTTCCAACAATCTAACTAAAACAATCGTAAGTTAATTTAAAGACTGCTCTGACAGGTTTTTGCTCAGAAGTCAGCTATGAGAAGAAAAAGCTACATTAATATGGATTGGGAACCTGTTGCTCACAATCAGGAAAAAGGTCTACCTTAGAATCATAACTGCCATAATTGCCACCTCATTGTCCCATAGTGGCGCAGTGGTTAGAACGCAGTATTGCAGACAAACTGCCCACAGCCAGGAGTTCGATCCTGACTGGCTCAAACTTGACTTTTTTTTTTTTAATTTGATTTATATGCCGCCCTTCTCCGGAGACTCAGGGCGGCTTACAATGCGTTAAGCAATAGCCTTCATACTTTTGTATATTTATACAAAGTCAGCTTATTGCCCCTACAAACTGGGTCCTCATTTTACCTACCTTAAAAAGGATGGAAGGCTGAGTCAACCTTGAGCCTGGTGAGATTCGAACTTAGAGTAATTGCAGACAGCTAGTGTTAATCACAATGCTTTTTTAGTCTGCTGAGCCACCAGGCCCTTCTAGACTTAGCCTTCCATCCTTCTGAGGTCAGTAAAATGAGGACCAAGATTGGGGGGTAATATGCTGATTCTGTAAACCACTTAGAGAGTGCCGTAAAGCACTATGAAGCGGTATATAAGTCTAAGTGCTATTGCTATTGTTGGAATGGGGTAGCAACAAGCACAGTGGCACTAAAAGTGGTTAATTTCCAATTCACATATACCTATGAAGTGATGAGGAAAATGGAAGATTAGTCTGCTGCTATTTTCCGGTGAACATATATATTCTAATTTGATAGGTGTTTCTCCCTCATAAACTGTCATTGTAAATTGATTTATTTTCCTTCAATATCATCCATGCAATAGTGCAAATGAGGTAAAGAAATTTTATTTATATATTTGTTGATATATAATATTGAAATGGCTGCCATGTCACAAAACATGACTCTGGGTGACATAAAATGAAACCATTAAATATGTTTAAAAACAATCACTAAATACAAAAATTAAAATAATTATTAAAAGACTAGGAGGTATTAAAAAGAATGAAACTACTTCATGGGATCACCATTTCCTTGCCATCCCCAGGCCTTTTGGTGCAAACATTTTTTGAGGGACTTTTGTAAGGTCAGCAGAGATGAGGCCAGTCTCACTTCAGAAGGGCTTATTTTCCACAGGGTAGATGCCATGACAGAAAAAGCCTATTTCGTGGGCACTTGCCAGATATACAGTAATTCTTTGGCAGATGGGACCTACAACATATCTTTTTCTGATAGACTTGATGGGACAGGCAGATTATAATGGAAAGAATTGGTCCCTAAAATAAACCAGCCCCATGCCATGGAGCTTTTAAATATCAAAGTTGCACCTTGAATTGGACCTGGAAGCAATGCAGCTTGTATAACAAAGTTGTAACGTGCTGCTTTAAGGACACACACAGCTGTCCACACACTCCTGAATTCTGTTCCAGCTGAAGCCTTTGGATATTCTTCAAGGGTAGCCCCATGTAAAACACATCATAATGGTAATATATTTTTCTTTTAAATCTGAATTTTCCTTTTAAAGCTGAATTTTCTCTGAATGCAACCAGATTTCATTAATAAGAAAGACATACTCTAAATTGAAAAATATTATTAATGATTGTATCTTGTGAAATGGTTTACAACATTTATGTCTAGATTGGTCCCAACAGTATACTGAAACATACAGTAATTGTTTTCTGAAATGTTAGGATCCTCAAGTGGAATGGAACATGTAAATGCTCACGTAAGCTCCAACTCAAGGTTATTTCCAAAATTACGTTTTGCCAATATGCATATACTCCAAGAATCTAAAATTCAAGTTTTTCTGACTTACCGCATTCATGTCAATACCATTGGTGTAAGACCAGGCATGTTGAAAATATTCTTCAAGGCGTTGGCGTAGAGGATTGGGGATTTGGTGGAAACGGATGAACTCCTTGACCCTTAACATCTGGGTGTGGTAGCGAGCTGTGCCAGAGTATAGGCGCTGGATGATGGCAGAAACATTGCCAAAAATGCTAGCATACATGAGAGCTGAAACAAGAGGACAATTGTCAATATTGAGGGGTGCAGGACAGAAAGACTGTGCCCAATTGCCCAGTGCCTTTGAAAAGCACTTGTCAATTATTTCACAAAACATCAACTGAATGAGTCCCACAGTCCAGGTACCAGGCAAAATTTTATTATTGAGATGTTATAAACGTTGTGTATGTGTTGTTTGTCCTTCTACCCCATTATTCTAGAACTAAATGTTGCAGAAACCCTCTCTATAGTTGAGTTGACTGCAGTTGGACACAAATTTCCTTTCTGAAACTGAGTGGGCAATTTATCTTACTATTTGTTTATTTATTTACTTGTGTGCGTGTGTGTGTGTTTATTTTCTCTGCCATCTCCCCTGTAAGACGACTTTGGGCAGTTTATTCTAGATGGAGAATTCACCACAGGTAATTTTCCATTAACGATGGCAACTGAAATTGCCATCACTAAGTGATGCAGTCATAAAGCATGATGCTATGTGTCTTCACTGCTTAGTGACAGGAATTCTGACACTTCCACTTCCTGTTGTTGAGTGAATCACTATGGATCATTAAATGACTACATCATCACCATTTGCAACCTCCTGCCATCTTCCTCAATGTCTTTGCTTGTCAGAAGCCAGCAAAGAAGTTTGCTAATGGTGACCATGTGACTGCAGGGAAGTTGCTATGACTGGAGCACAAATGTAAGTAGCCCTCATTCAATGCCATTGCAGGTTGAACAGTTATTGCATGGCCTGACTCTTTTATGGTGATTACACCATGAAAACAAAAAGCCAAATGGGAATAACTCCCATACCGCAAGAGCTGTCGTGGGTGCACCTAGGTACACCCACATTACACCAATTCTCCGCGAGCTGCACTGGCTCCCTATCGCTCTCCGGTCACAATTCAAGGTGTTGGTTATTACCTTTAAAGCCCTACATGGCTCAGGGCCAGGGTATCTTCAAGACCACCTTCTACTGCATAGCTCCCAGCGATCGGTAAGATCCCACAGAGCTGGTCTCCTCAGGGTCCCGTCAGCTAAACAATGCCGGCTGGTGGGCCCGCGGGGGAAGGCCTTCTCTAGTGGCTGCCCCAGCTCTCTGGAACCAGTTACCTCCTGAGGTCCGGACCATCCCCACCCTATTGGCCTTCCGAAAAGCGGTGAAGATCTGGCTCTTCCGGCAGGCCTGGGGCCGTTGATCTCGCTGTTGCGATCTGGCGAGATCCGGCCATGAATGGTGTGAATGGGTTTTAATTGTTTTTAATGGTTTAACTTTTAATATTTTATATATGGTTTTTAAATGCATTGTAAGCCGCCTTGAGTCTTTGGAGAAAGGAGGCATACAAATAGAACAAATAAATAAATATTTTTTTGTCTAGCAGGGCAAACTGCTAGGTAGTTGAAGGGAGCAGAACTCCCCTTTTGACTGACTCTTTTATCATAGCTGCAGTACTACATAAACACATCTTTATCATTATAACAATTGCCTCAAGACTCTCCTAATTTCCTCCATGTTTTGTGCAACTATGGGGTTCATCCTAAGCTTTATAAAAATGCAGCAGGACATGGCAATGGAGACACATAAGCAATTTAAGGATCTCTTAAGAGGGCCAAATCATCTGACTGTTTGGTTAGGATATAACTCTTCCGTAAAGATAGAGAAGCAAGGGACTGGCATTTTCTTAGACAGCGCATGCTTTAAAAGAAATAGAGAGTTAAATACTGTGTATGCACACAGCAGTGCACATAAAGGGCAGACAACTATAAACACAGTTGTACAGACAGTTTTAATATATTGACGAAGGTCTCTTCTATACCTTTTGGATGTGTGCATGAAAGCAGATTGAATGGTTTCAAATGGATTTGATATGAACTACAGTATATTAATATGTATGGGAGTTAATTGCATACATCACACTATTTCCTCCCTTGTAACATATAGCCTCTTCCAGTGTCATCCAGCTATCATTGAGGTGATGTAAAGCCCCTCTTATAAATGAAAACCCCTGTTTCATTTATATGATTTCTGTCTATGCCAGATCTCATGTTCATATATCAAAAAAATCTCTTCTTTCTACCTACAAGACAGTACAGAAATTATTGGGATCATATGTTCTCCAAAACTTCAGGAACAGCATCTACTGACAGCAATAGAAAGAGACATTATTTCTTTTTTTTTTTGTCAGAAATATTCTTGCTCATAAAAGGATATTGGACACTATTTATAAAATGTCTCTGCTTTGGCAAGTAACCAAGAGTTCAAAATAGCCAGGGGTTCAATATGTAAGAGGCTTTGAGATTGGTCAAGTAACCAACAAATACTGATTTTGTATTCCATTATGTTGATGAATGTTAACATATTTTCAACTCTGATATTGCTGGCATTGCTGAAATTTCCAAAAGAAACTTTAAAAAAACAAACCAAGAACTATCCTTGACGAGAGGTGAAAAGTCAATCTATAGAACTAAATTTCATTAGCTCCAGATTTGGCTGAGAAAAGTGGTGCTATTCATCCTTTTATTCTATAGTAGCACAATAATGGTAGGATTAGCAATGTACTCTCTTAAATGGCTTTCATTAGTAGAAGAATCAATGAAAAGAGACCAAAGAGGCTCCAGTCCAAAACACAAAGAAATGCATAAAATATATTTGAGGACATTGGACACTGAAATGAAATGATCAATCCTGTGTTATCTATGTTTATTTGTTTAATAATTGTTTAATAAATAAAATGTGTTTTAGGATGGATTGCCTGAGTATAATTTTTCGTCGGGCCCTAAAAACTCATTTTTTTCAACTAGCTGGTCTGTCCTGATTTTAGGGTTAGTTTTAAAATTTTTAAAATTTTAATATTTATTTTAATTGACAAGTTTTAAATTATGAGCCAAATTTATAAATTATCTTAATTTTATTTTAATTGTGATGTTTGTATAGATGTTTTTTATCTGGCTGTTCACCGCCCTGAGTCCGAAAGGAGAAGGGCGGTATAGAAATGCGAATAAATAAATAAATAAATAAATAAATAAATAATATTCATAGAAATAATGTTGGGGATAACATTGGGGATAATTGAAAAGATCTGTAAGGCAGTTGCTGGAAATATTTATTTGTTTGTTTATTTTGTATCCTCCCTAACTCAAGGCAGTGAACACATCCAACACACATTCCTCCTCCTATTTTCTCCATAATAATAGGAAATAAGATGAGTTGGATTGAGAGTGACTGGCCCAAGGTCACCCAGCTGGCTTTCATGGCTAAGGCAGAACTCAAACTTATCAAAGTTTTTAGTATCATTCTCAGACAAGGCAAATAAGATTGAGAAATTGAGTTATTTTATTGGAGATACTACATGACAGTTAACATTCTGGGGTCCTTGGTACTCTCTGAGCTTGGTTGAAAATTAAAATTCTCCATGGTAACCTTACTACCTTGATAATGAAGAAAATCCTCAAATATTTTGGTCATTTTGAACATTATGAATAGTTCAAATTGTTTATATAGTGCTGTCATGACCTAGTCCTAAAGGTGCTTTTTCAGGAGGCAACTTGTTTTTTCTTTGAAGATTTTTCACTTCTCATTCAAGAAGCTTCTTCAGCTCTGACTGGATGGTGGGGAATAGAAGGATTTATTTGCAGACAGCTGGTCATTTGCATTCTTTTAGAGAGTCGTTGAGGCTACTTGGAGGCTTATCTGTGTCTTCACCTGAGCAGTGTAAATGGGTTTGGAGCCTTCTTGGCTGCAGGATATTTTCTGCCCTGTACTGAAGACAGGCACAGGCTGTTGGACCTCAATGACTCTCCAAGTGGCCTCAATAACTCTCTAATGCAAATGACCAGTTGTCTGCGAGAAATATAAATCCTTCTATTCCCCACCATCTAGTCAGAGCTGAAGAAGCTTCTTGGATGAAAAGTGAAACATCTTCAAAGAAAAAACAAGAAAGTCCAGTTGTCTCCTGAAAAAATACCTTTTGGATAACCTGATGTGGATGACTGAGAATCTCAGTCATGATTTAATAGTTTTACTCAAATGAGGAAGAAGAGAAAGCATCATAAAAAGCAGAAACTGTCTCATGGTTTTCATGGTTTTCATCCTGCCCCAAAAGTTACTATTCTAGTCTACAAGCTTCCTCAACAAACTTTCATGATCGCCCACATTTATGTTTTTATGGATGAATGATAATTGGATGGATCCATGATTTTGGAGGACTTGAAGGATTTCTTGTTGCTGAATGCTGGATATTGGGGTTGCTTGGTGATGCCAGTTTTCAGCTAGATGTCTCTTATTATTATAGAAGAAAATGGCTGCCCCATCCTACAGTACATTAAGTATTTTGCTATATCATAGAAGGGACACCTTCACTGCATCAAAAATAGTGATCTGACAACAAGAATGATTAATGTTAGGTAATAATGTCTGGATACACATAAGAGCAGTGACTTTATGTGCAATAGTACAAAGGGCATAACCTGTAGCTGATGACATATCTACTAAAATATTTTGAGAAGCCAGTTTTATAGTCCCTTTGCCTATCATATGGTAGAAAAGTCTTTCCTTGTAGAAATCATTTCTTGCCTCTATGAAGTTAAGCATCCAAAAATGAGATTATGACTTTTCTCACAAGTTACCCGTATTTGAAGAAAGGATAAGATTGAGAAACTGGATCCTGCTGGTCCAAATTTGTGAATGCCACAAACTGGCAGACATCCAGGTTATTTATTATGCCTTACAGCAGTAGAAAGACACTATGAGTACCATGCATGTAATAAATATCCACAGAGCTAAAGAAAACCGAGAAGGGACAATTGGAACCGATAAGGTATCCTGCTCATCATGAATTACAAATATTTGTAGAGATATACTATAGTTTGATGGAAATAGGAAAAAGGTGCATTCATGAGAATTGCCAAGCATTGTTTTTCCTGAAGGAATAAAATATATATACTAGTGTGACCATACATGTCTCAAGATCAAGTAAAACCACTAACATTCAGAAAAGGATGTCCTCTTTTGGTATAATAAAATAACAGGAGAAGAACTGTTATGTTGGATTCAGTGTCTGAGTTATGAGCTAAAGGAATAAACCATCTATTTAATATTTATTCAGATGGTAATATGAAAGTACAATCTTTTTCCAGGTAGGTATCTTCCCTTGTCCCTTGTGTACTTGACAGAGAAGTTTTGTTAATTACCTGGATTGGCTAAAGTTTTTTTGTGTTGGAAATTGGGCATACAATACATGCTCAGTCCCAAAGTGGAAGATTTGAGATGCTAGCTGTAAGGCTTGAGCTACAATAATTAATTGACCATAGTTATCCTAGGAGTATGACAACTGGCATTGAAGGAATTCTTGCCAGAAAAGGACCAAAATCAAGATCCTTTAGCTATTTATATTAAGCAGCCATATAGATAAAATTGTTAGGTTTGATGGATCTAGCCCAATAACACTCTATACAAAATGATTGCCTTATCAAAGTTGTTTATTCAAAGATGCATATATGGTTTAAATCTATGAATACATCCTTAACTGACCTTTGTCCTTTCCTTGCAGATGTGTGTCTGGAACTACTGGGTGACCACGTGGGAGCAGTCTTTTATACTCAGAACTTTAAGGTAAGGTGGGACTATGGGGATAATGGGTTGTGTGGTTGAGTTAACCCTTGCAGGGTAGTACGCAATAGGGACACAAGCAAGTTAGACATTTCACCTGACAAAAATTGAATGTGACTGTATAGAACTGCATGCTAAGACTGCTAATTGTTGGAAACCACTCTTTAACTATGAAGCCAAGAGTCTTAGCAATGTTCCAGATAGTGGCAAATCCTCAAAAGTTGAAAAGATGATTAGATCCCTATCAGAACCAAGTAGAATAACTCAAATCAGAGACTGAGATTTGAGACTGAAATCTGAGGACCACGTATCATTTTGGTCAATGCTTCTTATGGTTTTCCTAATCCACAGCATGACTGATGGAGTACTTACTCTTCATTTCTTGAATCTCAGGGCAGAAGTAACCTTAAGAAACAAGTGGAAGTGTCACAACCAAGACAAGGGTCAGATCAATGAAATCTGGGTCTAGGGCAGAAATGAAATGCAAGAGAGCATCTCAGACATGAATCTCCCACATTCTCATGAAAATAAAGGGAAGGAGGGAGAAAGAACATTCAGAATATATACTTATATACTTTTATAATAAAAGTATTATTAGCTTAGATGTCTTTAGTTTCCAGGTTTGATTCATCTTGAATGGATGACAGTTACATACTTGCTCAATGTCAGTCACCAGCTGAACCAGTTTTGGTCTAGTTTAGGGAGGAGATACAACTACTAGACATGAAGGGGAGGACACATCCATCAGTGATATGATAGACTGAGCATCCTTCAATGATATAATAATGAAGCATTCAGAATGGAGGCATAATAAATATTTTGAGAAGCTGTTTTGACAGTTGAGCATAAGAAGTGCCTGATATAGAGGCTTGAAATACTAGTTTCCAAAGACAGTTGTGATGTATTATGTGGAAAATGTATGACAATATGTGCAGGGGACTGCACAATTGTTCTCTGCTAGACACAGAGGAAAACACACACACACACACACATTCCTAAACAGAAAATGTCTATGACAGGGAGTTTACTCCCACAGTAATTCCAAGGGGAAAGTCTCCAGGTGAAAGTTGAGGGGGAATTCTCAGATAAACATTGACCTGATCTTGCTAAAAAGTTATAACAACAAAAATAATTACATCATCACCATCATCATCATTAAAAACAAATCAAAAATTCAAGAACTCAACATTACCTGAGAAGAAAAATGTTGTTATGAGTGGAAAAGATGAACTGAGATATTTTGTACTACTTCTGTTAAGTGTAGCAGCATATGCAATGGGCAGTATAGTCCTGTTCTAAGCTTGGCTTTAGAATGTACTGAAAAAAGTCATCTGCGTATGGGAAAATCCACATGCCTGATGCAGAGATCATGAATAAATGTGGATACTAACCTGTATTTGTGTAGTAACTATATGGGCCAAACTTTTGTTTTGTGCTCATAATTGCTATATGCTACTGTGTGAATTCTTTCTCACCTTCCTTTGCAGAAGCTGAGAACTGAAAACAGCCTAGATGTAGCTGGTTCTTCCTATGCTGATTCCTTCAAGCTATTTATGGTGATTTAGCTATCTGCCCCAGTGGATATCACCAACACTGTATCTCAAAGGAAGAGCAGACTTTGGACTCATGCCAAGAAATCTCAGAAATGTTTGGAAGAAATGTTTAAAGAAAAATGAAATGTTGCTATTGCTGAGAGGGAGATACAATTAAATTTACAGAGAAGGTTCAGAAGCACTTACCGCCAATTAGCATGACGCAGATGGAAAAAATCTTTTCAGAGTTGGTATTGGGTGAGACATTGCCAAAGCCCACACTGGTAAGACTACTGAATGTGAAGTAGAGGGCAGTCACGTATTTATCTTTGATGGAAGGGCCAGACGAGAGGTCACTGTTATTGTAGGGTTTGCCAATCTGGTCACCAAGGTTGTCCAGCCATCCAATCTTATGCTTCATATATGGCCGCTCCACATTGCCAATAGCATACCAAATGCAGGCTAGCCAATGGGCAATGAGAGCAAATGTGCACATGAGCAGAAAGAGTACAGCAGCCCCATATTCTGAATAGCGGTCCAACTTGCGGGCCACTCTCACTAAGCGTAAGAGTCGTGCAGTCTTTAGAAGCCCTATCAGAGTTGTTGTCTAGAGAGAGAAAAAAGAAAGAAAGCGTGCAGAAAGCAAAGAACAAACAATGAATTAGTGGCAGGGCGTCTGGATTTTATTTCCATCTTTAATATGAATCAACCTAAAATATGCATAAAATGTCATACTTGCCTTGCAAATGCATTCTTCTTTTTTTTTTTTTAAGAAAGAGGAAAAAAGCCTAAAGAGGAAATATTTTCCAGATACTCTCCATAATGTCATTTAAAATACAGTGCATTATCTGTATGCATTTTTTTTGTTGCATTTTAAGGCACCTATGTGATTTTATGAGAAGTTACTATTATTCTCTAATAGCAATTCCTTAAGGTCAGAATTTTCTAAGATTTTTAACTCCAGAAAAATGATATCTACCCCAACATAAGCTGTAGATTTCTTTCTAGATGAGAATATTTAAAACATCCAGAAATCCCAACAATGCCTACAAACTGTGTTCATCTTATCCAGAGTCATCTAGGTATGGTGCATTATCAGTTCTGTAATTGGCATTATATCAATAGCTGGTGTTTGAAAAGCTCAGAACATACCACATAGCCTGATTAGTGCCACTTAGAAAAAAATACATGATTAACGCATCTGTGGTGCAAGCTGAAATTTAAAGAACTGTTGATAGTAAGGTTCTATAAGCAAAATGATTTCTGGCACATCCTCCTCTAGACGTTTTCTTCAACCCTTTAAAAATCCATGACATATTCAATATGTTCACCTTACAACTGACAAATATTACATGCTGTCAAATATATCCTCAGTGTGGAAGATAATATATATCTCACCTCATCAGATCCAGAGCGAAAGATAAGTAAATCAAAGGGGATGGCAGCAACCATATCAATGAGAAACCAGCCTTTGAAATAATGGATAGCGATTTTTCCTGGGTGGCTGACTACTTCATCATTTATGTTGACGTAAGTAGTGCGGAAGTTAATGACAATGTCAATTATAAACATGATGTCCACAATGAGGTCAATTATATAGAGGGGGTCACATGAATAGCTGCAGTCTGTCTGCTTCTCCTCCTGGTCTTCATTGAGCAAGAAAGCAGCTGAGTAGGGAGTGAAGACAGCTGTGTAGATGACCAGCAGTAGGATAAGCCAGTCCCATACTGCTTTGAAGGGGCTGTAGTGCAGAATGGTCCATCGATGGATGCGTGGTGCCTGCAACTTATACTCTGGGAGGACATCTGCTCCCAGTGATAGAACCTATCAGAGGAAAAAACAACAACATGCAGTTTCAGAATAGCTATATCGAGGACTATACATATATATATAAATTTTCTTTCTTCTTCGTAGGGTTTATGTGTGTTTTTCATATATATATATGACATCGAAATAAAACAGCTATAATAGTCTATTCAAAAATAATATATTTGCATAAAGATACAATTTATATGCTTTGCTTGGGGTTAGGGAAGAATAGGAAATAATAGAAAAATATCTTCATGTCATTTTAATAGTAAGAAAGAACCTGAGATTCACAAAAAAGAATATTTATTGGTTTGGAGATTGTATTACAGTATTATATTGCTTCATTTTTAAAATCATGGTTCTGACAGACTGAGCAGTAATTTAAAAATATGAAATGAAATAATAATTAATCATTTTAGATAAGAAAAGAGGCAGCTTATATGGAACCCCAGAATATCTTAATCATGAACAAACAGAAGAAAAGACATTGGGTGGGGCCTGTAGGAAATCAATACTACCAATAATATGGAACAAATCTTTAAAGGCTTTATAAGGTAAATTAAGAGGAAGAGTATCTGTGGAGATTCTCAGTCATCCAGGTCAGAGCTGTCTCAAAGCTGCTTTTTCAAAAAGCAACTGGATTTTTTTTTTTTTTTGAGGAAGACGAACAAAACATTTTACTTCTGATCCAAGAAGCTTCATTAGTTGTGATGTGGGAGGGGGAATGGAAGTATAGGTACTGACGGTTGAGACTGGATGCTGGGGGAATGGAAGGATAGGTTCACATTTTGATTCATACCACCCACTGGAGCACAAAATGGGAGTGATCAGAACTCTACACCACCAGGCTGAAAGTTTGCCTATCAGTAAAAAAGGAAAAGAACAAGAACTAAAACACATCAAGGAATTACTCAGAACTTGTGGTTATCCTAACTGTGCCTTCATCAAATCCAGAAAAAGATCCAGCAGGAGCTCCTCCATTACAGATAAAGAATAGAATAACAAACATAGCAACATTGTCATTCCATATGTGGCAGGAATATCTGAAAAGCTCAAGAGAATTTTCAACCAATACAACATAATGTACATTTTAAACCCAAGAATATACTAGAAGCTTGTCCACCCCAAGGATAAAACACCCAGACATAAATGGAGTGTAATGTGATATATGCAATACAATACAGTGATACATGTGCCAATCTGTACATTAGTGAAACAAGACAACCACTTCATAAGCGCATGGCACAACATAGGAGATCAAACCATCAGAACAAGATTCAGCGGTCCATCTGCATTTGAAAGACAAAGGTTACTCTTTTGAAGACAGCAAAATCCACATGTCAACCCTGAGGTGAATCTGGCTGAAACCACCTTCAGTGGGAGGGGGGAAATAGTTAGAGGGGGTTTGTAGCCAAAACAGTAAAGTTTTCCTGTGGGAACCAAGGACATTCTCACAGGTGGCTGGCCAGAGGAGGAACAAGTAACCAAGCAACCATCAGCCACCTGGATTGGACAGCATGACCAGTGTCTTGGGGGAAGGGAAACTGTTACTTTTAATTATGTGAAAGCCGTGGGAAATTTCAGACTCAGCTTTCACCAGTTGTGCCAATATGAAGTATCCAGTAAACTGTTGCTTGAGGAACCTGCCTGTCTCGGAGTTCTGTTTTCTATGAGTGCATTCCAAGTGCATTACTTGGAACGCTGACATCAAGCTGACTCTCTCCTAATTCCAAATTCTCCGATAGAATCGGAGCTGCTCTCTGGGGTCCTGAGCCCTGGCTGCTCACCTGACCTTTTGCAGGAGTAGTGAAGACTCAGGAAAGATTGCAGCGATGGAGAAATAAGAGGAGGAAATTGTGGGTGCCTCCTCCTCCTCCCTGGGGGCTGTTTAGATCCCTGTTGAGAGACAGTGGGTGGCTGAAGCGGTGACCGAGATCACTTTCCAGATGATGACCTGGCTGAAAGTCTGTGCCAAATGGCTGGACGCAGGGGAATTCTATCAGGCCGAGGAAGACTTCAGGTGCAGGAAGTCGATCCAGGGTTTGGTGAGAGATGTGCCAGTGACCTTGATGCAGGAGTCGATGATCACCATCCATGAATGGAATGCAAAGGGACCATCCATGAATGGAGAGCAAAGTTGGATGAGTCCTGGGACTGGAAATACTGGACAGCAGTCCACAGCCAAACCCTGGAGGGCCTGCCAGAGTGGTTTGACGGGTTGAGCTTGGAAAGCCTGGAATAAGCACGCTGGGTTGATCCTGATCCTGACCCAGCCAATCTTGACCTTGACCTTCCCCCACCAGGATCAAGCCTCTATCCCAGAAACTCAAGTGGCTAGCCCTCTGCCAGCTTCATCATCGCAGTCAAGCCCCAGACCATGGTGCAGAACACCAAGGCAGCACCGAGTAGGGACCCCATCGGGTAACCCTGTCAGTCCTGGAAGCCATCTTTTACTTTGGATCTTCAGGCCTGCCATGTTTAGTGCTGTGGGAAACTGGGAGGGGTGATTGTATGTAGTTGGGGAGATATCTAGCCATAATAACATTCTTTTTTCTGAGAGTCAAGGACATTCTCCCCTGCACCTGGGGTGGTGTGACTGGAGGCATCTCCAGTTGGGATGATGCATTGATTGGACCATGTGATGGACATGTGGGTGCTGGGGCAGGGACTTGGACTTTCTTTTGGGTGGGAAAACCTGGAAGCTTTCAGATTTGGGTTTTCCCAGATGTGCCAATATGACATATCTAATAAAATGGAACTTTGAGGAGCTTCTAGCCTCGGAGTCTTCTTTCATTGGGGGTGTAGTCCAAGATCCTGAGCCCTGAGTGTTGACTCAACACATTAAGACTCAGGGAAGATGAAGGAAGACAAGGGGGGGACCATGGGGGCTGGGTTGATGGTCTACGTCAAGATCATCTGTGGTGAAGGCAGCAGAGGCCGCTGAAGTGGAACCCCGACAGGGTGCCCAGCCCAAAGAGCCAGAGTCCTGGCAAGCTGCTCAACTGGATCCTTCTCTGTGGGGTGAAGCCATGGGAGCCATGCCACCCCAGGAGATGTTGACTGGGGTGATGATGCAGGAAATCATCACAAATGGGAGCAAGAAGAGCAGAGCAGACCCAAGCCCTCGAATGGAGAGCATCAGGACCAGCCGATCTCAATGACTCCCGAGAGTGAGGCTTCCCATCGCTATTGTGCAGCCAGTCGCCTACTGGAGTAGTTCAGCCAGCTTAGCATAGGCAGCATCACACAACTTCCTGGTACCCCAGATGGACTCTGGCTCAACCCATGTTCACCTTCCCAGGCCAGGAGGCTGCAGCAGCACAGAGTGGAGCATCTACCTCCTTTCACTCAGCATGAAGCAGATCGTACCATAGCCTCACACATTGGGCCCGATCTACCAGAGTGACAGCCCCTGCTGGAATTGGAATGGTGCAGCAGCAAGGTCTGTTAAGTCAATCCAGTCTAGCGCTACAAGGGCCACAATTCGGACTATTGGGACCAGCACCCCACCTCAGCAACCAGTCTTCAGATTGTCTCTGGCTGACCAGATCACTCCTGGCTGGGCCTTCTACCCCAGCCAGGGGTGGGTGCAATACCAGTGGACACCAGCTCTGGTCCTGCAGCCAGCACTGGCCCAGCAATCAATGCTGGTCCAGCCGCTGGTAACAGTCCCACCACCGGAAACTATCCTGAAACTGGTCCTGCCAGCCGCTCCCCCTCCGCAACTTAGAGTGACATTTGACAGGACCCAAGGAAAGCTGGTCTACTTCCTCAATTGGGTCTGGGCCCATATTGATCACTATGGGGACCAATACCCAACCGATTGAGACATGATTTCGATGATTGCGGGTGGCATGAATGAAGGAGACGTGGCAGAGTGGATAGCTGAGGTACATGATGAGGGAGCCCCTGAACTAGATGATGTGGACAAATTCGTCCAACTGCTCCGAGGCCAGTTCAAAGACACAGCCCACTGAGTAAAAGCCGAAGTCCAGATCAAAGCCTTGAAACAAGCAGGCCGGCCTACCAAAGAATTAGTGTGGGAATTCCGAAGACTGGCTGGAAACTGAGGGACTGGCCTGAGCACCTCCTCATTTACCACTTCAAAGAGGCCCTTGACCCAAGACCTCAGAGAAGCTTCAGCATCAGGGGAGTCCTGGAGCATATACAAGCCTGGTACAACACAGCAGTGGCCATGGACCTGGAAATCCCTGCCCCATAGGAAACCAACTGCAGAAAAACCAGCAAGAAGACCCCTAGGCCGCTGAGCCTCAGCAAAGCCACCTGAAGCACCGCAACCCACACTGTCTGGGATGATCAAGTGCTACCGGTGCTGCCAGCACGGACACAGAGCATCTGTGCCCCTGCCCGGTTCCTCAAGCTCGGACCGCCTCTGCACCCTGGGGAAGAAAAACCCTTTGGAAGCCACTGGACAAAGGAAATATATATTAAAATATATTTGGCAAGGGAAAAAAGCAAGAATTAGCTTAAAAATATTGCAGGATTCAAGAAACAGAGGATGCTTTGGATTACCTAATTAGGAATTGTATTATCAGGCAGCGGTATTAACATGGATGAAAGAATGGATTGCATTGAGACATACAAGACTATTGACTTTGGAGGGCCACGACTTAAACTGGGTTGGCATGCCTTCTTGTGGTATGGGAAAAGTAAAATATATGGTTTCTTTCAAAGAAATTACATAGGGAATGCTCCATTGTTAGTATGGGAGAAAATTAGAGAACAACATTATTTGAGGATACCAGTTTAGCTTTCAACAATGGAAGCACTGATCTACCCAAACATTATTAACATGGGAAATATTGTTAGATATAAAGATATTTTGAATGAAAAGGGGAAACTTAAAACTAAACAAGAACTGAGTGATCAAGGGATTGACATAGCGTGGTATTCACAAGTGCAGATACATTCTAGATATGAGAAAGATGCTAAATGATATGGTTTCTATAAAGAATTAATAGAATTAGATAAGATATTAACAGGGACAGAAGAAA